GACGACGACGACGACGCTACTACTACCACCACTGCTACTGCTTCTGCTACTGCTACTGCTACTGCCACTGTTACTGCCACTACCACTGCTCCTGCTCCTGCTCCTGCTCCTGCTGCTGCTGCTGCTGCTGCTACTGCTACTGCTGCTACTACTGCCGCTGCGGCTACCGCTGCTGCTCCTCGCAGATCTTGCTGTAGCTCATGTTTCTTCAAACACCCACCTTCGAGCAACTTGCGTGGATGGCTCTTGCTTTGAAAATTTGGCTCGCGAATGCAAGCCTTGCTATTTATGTTTATGGCTCAATGCTATCTTCAGGTAGGTCCTGGTCAAGATAGTCATGTGAGAGTTGTGTTAAAATTCAGGGGATGCTGTATGGCAGGATATCCTACCCTTTGGTCAGTTAAAGCACTAGTTTGGCGAGGTCAGGCAATAGGGCACGTGGTTCGTGAACCACAACTACTGCATGTTCCTGGTCTTGTAAAGTTTACTCAAGAGTGTCCAGCAGCTGCCGATTTGTTCCCTCCGCAATGGCCTCCGTCCAAAAAGGACACGTGGTGAAGGCTGGTGAGAACATGATGGATCACACATCACCTGCAACGAAGAATATGAGTTGCATTCGGTGCTGCAGGCCATCCGGCGGACGAATGTCGTGGCCTGAGCATCACACCGGGTGCGGTCCAGTGAAAGATGGTACTGTTTGCGAAAGCTCCGCAGAAAGCCAAGGACTGGCTCCCATCACACTGCAGACAGAATTGGGCTTGGACCTTGAGTGGTCAACGGCTTCACTTGCATGCATGTCCTGACATGTCGACGCTTTGTGGGGACTTAGGTCCTTGGCGACAAGAACTGCTGTGGTTATCTCTGCCTGGAGGCTTGACACAGACAGAGCTGCAATCAACTTTGTTGTGGCTTCGTACGCAGACGACCCGGTGACAGGTCGACGAGCTGGCAAGGGCACCTGGCCTGCAAAGATCACCCAGTGCCACACCGGATTTCTGCACCCGGCCAAAGCCAGGTGAGCTATGTGGGACGAGATAGCAAAGACGAGAGGGGCTGGCTGTATGGCAGTCACAACGACTGCGAGGGCTGGCTTCACTCGGATGCGGTGGTTCCCCTAACCTTCCCAGAGCCGCCAGACCTGGACAGACTTTCCAGGCCATCTCCGTTGTTTTCTCGCATTGTTCGCGTACCAAGACTTCATGACACATCGTGCCATGGCCTTGCTCGCATAGCTTCTTGCAGAGGAAACTGGCAAGCCTTCTCCGGTATCCAGATTCGCGCATACTGATCCGAGAAGATGGATGGGCGTCGGTGGATCAAGTGAAGACGGTCATGCCTCATCCGGACTGGATCGAGCATGTAGTTGCCAGAAGCATCAACAAGGACCTTGTCTTGAGCCGAGCTTGATCAATGTTTGATCTTGGTAGCAGGTCTCAGCCGAGACTACTTCCACCATGCAGTTGACAACAGCTACCCAGCCAACCTTGAGTTTCAAGAAATGGTTGAAGCATGTTGACGACGGCTCATAGCCGACATCCAGGACGGAATCGGACGCTTTGAGTTCGATGAGACACGTGACAAAGCTGCATGGTCCATTGTGTTCTTGAGCTTGTGCAGGTAGATGGAGACCGTCGCGTTTGGTTGACGCGTCTTGCAGCATTCACAGTATAGGAGCCATCGATAGCTTGCTCAGGCCAGTTCATTCGCGCGGCGACCCGCTCGGCCTTCAAGACGACCCGCCCTACAATCCCGAATACAGCCATTGCCAGTGTGGCAAAGTGCTTGCGGGACTACCGCACACTCGAGCAGTTTGCTTGCACCAGCACAGTTGCGAACAAGCAGACGCGCAGGCCTTAGTTGTGAGATACAATGAGACGGCTATATGAGAGTACGATGACATTGATAACATGACGACTGAGGATTCCCATTCTCACATGCCCCGGCTGTGGAAAGGAGAGACGAACGTGTGCTCTTGCCTGCGGGCACAAACTTTGTAGAAGCTGCACGTCCTCTTTTGGCAGTTGCCCATGCTGCTTAAAGAAGCACAACCGCGGGGAGTATGCGGAAATCCGAAGTAACACAGACCCTCGGTCGTCCCAGCCCGGAAGAAGCAGCGGCACAAGCGGCTCGAGCGAGTTCTGGAGAAGCGATTCCACCGTCTGGCACATCAGGCCACGCGAGACAAAAAAACCTCCTTTCGACGATCCAGCCATTGACCGCATGGAAAACATCTGGGCCGCGGACATTCCAGCAGCATCTACCTCTGCACATCGCCTGCGTTATTGGAAAATCGAGGAGTCCGCAAATTGCGTCATCGCACAAGTATATTTCCTTCAAGGGAATATATCTTTCGATCCAATACGGGAAGAAGATGTTGTGTCTTGGCATATCTTGGCTGTACCTTTCTCGGCTTTGATGTTGCACCGACGGATTGCGTTGGCGCTGCTGTTCCTCAACATATGTACTGCACCAGCAGCTAAGAAAGTTGCAGCGATTGTGAGCTCGCCTCCTTCACCACCGCACCGTTCCGTCTCGGAGGCAGTGAGCTGGGTTTGCAAACGAGGCCTGGGCAATGTAGGCGTCATGGGAGGATATCGTAGAGTGTATGTGTATATTTCCTTTTAGCCTTGGCTGGAACAGGACACCTGTTTCCTCGAAGCAGCGGCTGATGATCGTTGAAGGGAGCAGCTGTAGTTTGAATTGAGGCCGCAGGTCTTCAATATGAAATGTGGAGTACCACGCAGCTTTTGTAAAACACCTAACAAGTGAAGTCTTTTTTAAGGCAGATCAGAGATTTGATCACAGACTCGGAGTATTTTCGAGCTCTCTGTCGTAGCAGGAAGGGAGTGCTTGCTCGGGGCTGTGTGCCCAAAGCTGCTATTCTCCACATTCATGCGGTGTGCCCGCAAGAGTTGTCGAGCCATTCGAGATGGCGTCGCTTCTGCTCCTAAGCTCTAAAAGGTCTGTCGCAGCACCCGAACTGTCCCAGTCTGCCCTTGCTCTTCTTGGGGTTAGTGGTTAGCAGAGCTGCTTTGTGCTCAGGCGAACTGATGAAGAGAAAGGATGCTGGCCGCAGTGGTGCTCCTACGCATTCAGGGCTTCCGTTTTGGAAACATCGAGCTGCCTTATCCTGGAAGGCCGGATGCCACAGGCAAGGCAAGTGTCTTCAAAAGCAAGTTTGGAGAGGGCACTGCAGGGTTTCATGGGGAACCGCACCAAGCTTTGTCTACTTCTGTCTCAGCCAGAACTTCTGTTCATGTTGAGCCTGAGCATTCTCATCTTGGACTCTCTACAGCACACTTCGCCTGTCAGATGCCGTCAACCATGGCACTCCTCCTCTTTCGGAATGCTGACCGTTTGCACACGGGAGAGGCGGCAGATGTCGGACTTGGGCTGAAGACGCTGCGGTGCCTTCTGTTTTTGGGTTTGGCATTTGCCCCCCGGCCCCGGCCAGACCCTTTTCGTGAAGCGCTGGCCTCCTGCAGGCGGCCTTAAGGAGCTAAAGACAGCTGGAGCGACCGCACTTTCTTGGGTGCCCGGGTGCAACTGTGCTACGGAAGGAGCTTCTACAGCTGGCCGGCGAGGCACAGCAACGGAGACTGTGCCATTCGCGGTGGCCATGCTTCGGCACGCTGTCTGTTCGGATTCGCTTGCGCTTCTTGCTGCAAGGCCACGAAGCCTGTCAGGGCCTCCCGATGCTTCAACGTTATCGCTCAACGACAGCACGTAGCACGTGACTGCTCGAGGTTGTTGCTCCAGCGCGAGCGCTGTATGACGTCATGCTGAAGCCGGTGATGTCACTGGATGAAGCGCTGCCGGCCGATTAAGACCTCGGAGTTTGCTTGCCAAGTCCTCGTCCTGCTGGTTGATGAAGGTGCAACCAGGTGGCACCTACCTGGTGAAGGGTTTGGAGGCCGGGGCTTGGGCCTGTGCCAAGATTCCAGTCGAATCTGGTGCTTTGCAGGCTTTCGATCCGCCGAGGCTCCTCTTCAACCACCGGCCAGCTCAGGTTTGCCATGGGGACTAAAGCAACTTCTTGCCTTGCAAAGCGGCTCTGTCCCAGGGACCGTCGCTGCGGACCTTGGCACGTGCCCAGCCCTTAGTGATGGGAGGACTTCAAGAGCAGGTCCATGCCTGGTTCACGGCACTCACCTGGGAGCTGCAGCTACGACTTGAGATAAACGCAGTCAGAACTAGCCGGATAGGATGAGTGCCGTTTTTCTCAACATCCACCCATTGTTTATCGTTTGTGTTCTTGCAAGGCCAAGCAAGCAGTGGCAGGAGACCGGGACATGGTCGAACACTTCTCGCAGGCTGGCACTGGGGCAAAAAATCGAATTCATCGACAATTAGCTGTAGCAGACACGTGAGTTGCTTTGTTGTGTCAACGCAGGTGCCATCGCTGGCCTCACAGAAGACTCGTGCTATGCGCTTGGCAGTGCTGGCACGATATGGTGTCCTAGCTGTGCCAGGGTTGCGATTGAGCTGCTCTTTCTGTCTCTGAGGCCTCCCTTGAGAGGGAGCCCTTGCCCACTGTGCAATCGCCGCCCTGGCTGCCGCAACCTCGGTCTGCTTCGCCGAAGCGAGCCAACTTTTCTGAAGTGAAATTTATGCGAAGGTCGCAGGAAGGCATGCCAGAAGTAGAGCCGCGGAAAGGGCAATGGCAGGCGGGACTTGTGTTCTTGCGTCTTCCTCTTGCCTTCGTTCTGGTTCCTCGCGGGTTTTGCAGGTGGACGACTTCCTCCAGCACAAGTTGAGCTGGAGCTGCCAAGGTACGACCCGTAGAAGCCCAAATCATGCTACTCGTACATCCAAGTCGGTCAGGCCCTCTTCACCGACACTATCTCTGGGACCAATGGACACCGGTTCACGCCTTAACATGCAACAAGTAGGTAGATTTCCAAACACGTTGTTCGTGCTTTATTTGACTGATCTGTCACTGGGGCATGATGCGATGATGCCAAGTCAGCCAGCATTAGTACTGAATCAGGAAACTAGCTGATATAGTCTCTGTGGCCACCGGGGTTTTGAACCGTTGCCCTTAACGCCTCGCATAGGTGCTGCAGTCATCGTACAACCGGCACCAAAAGCGGATCGACCGCTTTGCGGCCACATCATCCACCTGACCGGCCCAGCACGCATTTATGGCTGCTGAGCGTTTCACGCATCGGTGCTAAATGGCACCTGTTTCGGCTTATCGACGAAATCTCAAAAGCTATCCGCACGACTATATGCAATGCCTCTCTGAGACTATATGAAGCTGCTGTTCACATCACATGGTGTTAGTTGAAGGTTGTGGCGAGTTGCACCAGCATGCTTGCCGGTGCCATGTGTTTCTCACATGGAAGGGGACGCGAGCGTCCCACTGGCTTAGCCAGTAGGAGCATGGTGCCTGGCTTGCAGAAGATTCAAGGGACGCTGTAAATTCTGGGCTTCTGAGCTCACTTCGGATACTGCGTTGCACTCGAAGTCGCAGGCTCCGATGGCTGAGCAGCTGGAGACCGGTTCTCGGAACGTACCGGAGGAAGGCACAGTTCATGTTCAGGAATGCCGAGACTAAGGACATGGCAAGACACCGAGGGGAAGGATCGTCAGAGGGACGATCCCTCAGTCAACCTGGGAGTATGCCAGCGACGGACATGTGCCTTGTGCTACCTGAGGCACTTCTGGGCCAAATTCTTCTGCCGAGCAGGCTTTGCAGTTTTTTGTTGCTTGGTGACAGCTGGTTGGCACTAGTGTGGCGGTCTCTCAGGTACAATAAGGTGAGCACGATGGGGCCTGGGCAAGCCCTAATGATGGGCGTCGCCACGAAGCCCCTCAACACCGTCATGTACGGTCGCGGCCCCTGCGGTCAGAACAAGCATGCCATCCCAGACCATTTCGCGAGTTCGAGTCGTGCGATCAGACCCCCTCTCCCCCACATGGCTCAGAGACCGAGGTCCTGATTGTCCAGAGGACTCTCGCCACCGGGTGCTGGTCACGAAGACTGCGCCTCCCATCCTGCTGCTGGAGCGATGCCTCGAGCAAACATGTCCAGAATTCCTTTCAATTTCGGGCAGGAGCTCAATGCTGTGGCCACCTTCAACATGTCACGCCTCCCTGTTGCCTGAAAGCGAAGCTTAGAGCATCTTGGGCCATCTGCTGGTGAACTCCCAGTGGGCATTGGCCAGATGAGTATAGGACTCAGACACCCCCGCTCTGATAGAGCTTGCTGCAGCTCGACTCCTGTCCTTTGAAGCTTGCTTGAATACTTACCACATTGACCCTCTTTGCCAGGATGGACCCGGACACCTCTCAAGACATCGTCTTTGGCATGGATGCCGTGCGACACTGAGCATGGTGCTTCGCAGCGGTATGTGTGCAGCTTGTTGTCAGATGCTCCTTGTTGCAGATCACCAGGTCAATCAGTTGATGAAGAATCCAAAGTGGCACCCTCGGCGCAAGCACCTGCGAGCACTCACGATGATTTTGTGACGACTGGCGCTGCAGGGCTCTGAATGGTCGGCCTCTCGCCTACGTCATCCAGGGCTCTGGTCCGCACTTCTGTCCAGGCCGCGCTGCTATGAATCCGGAAAGGATTTGGTTATGTCGTGGGGTCGCGAGTCGCAGCTGCATTCTGGTCAGGCGGGAATCCTAATCCGAAGCTCTACCCGGGGCACATTCCGTTGACAGTCAATCAGCCGCCTGGCCGAAAGAGTGTCTTAAGGTGCAAGAGGCCGCAGGAGCCACCAGGATGAGAAGTCATGGCGGCACTGCTGGAAGCGATGTGGTTACTTGCCGGCGGAAGCTTCAGACAGCAAAGAGTCTTTCCCTGGCACGTTTCTCCAGCATCACCCAGCCCTCCTTCCTGCACTCCTAGAACGCTCAGTGAGTCCATGTGATTTATTCCCCCATCAGGCAGGAAAGGTGTCGGTGCCTTCAGCCCCAGTCACAGAAGAGACCCTGTGCAGCACCTCATGACGACGATATCTCCGCCGGGAGATGGCATCTCAATCTAGGGGGTTTCACTCCAACCGCAATGTTTCAGAAATTTGCTGCTTGATTAACAGGTTCTTATCCTCAGGTTGTTTTTGCAGGCTGCGGCTGCAGCAATGTGCTTTGACAGGGGGAGCACGTTGTGACAAGAGGCCATACTGGTAGCAAGCGTGGGCCCTGCTCGCAGTTCGTTTGTACTGCGAGGGCTTCTGTGTCAACAGGTGTAGAAGGAGAGGGCCCAATGATGCGTAGAACAAACGACGTTGGGCTTTGACAAAAGCATATCTCTCAGACATACTTCAGTTGCCCTGCGCCGAGTATTACACTTAGCTGATCGATCTCATTCTGGATCATCGCTCCCGTCGCGGCTGCTGTGGTTCCTCACGAAATATGCATGCCAGCAGATGGCACGACAGCACACATCAATGTTAACCCGGGGCGTTCCCGAGCATTCATGCAAGGAAGTTTACACACCGCAGGGACTTGCTAGAAGCACATTCAAGTCAGGTATGCGGGTTATTTGCCCTTCATCAGATGCCGAGAGTGTGGGACTCAGACAATGACGGGCTTCGGCAAACCCTGGGCCTCTCTGGCCTCCTTGGCCTTTGCAAATTTGAGGATGGCCCTTCCAGGCATCTGTGCCTTGCATGGCCGGTTCCTTACAGTGAGCGATGCGAATGACGAATCGCTGGCACATGATCCTAGCCCCGTAGATGAGGACATCGTTGCACGTACCTGAACACCTCCGGATTCTGGATTGCTGGGCCAAGGTTCTCTAGTTGGCGGTGGTGTTGCCTACTCTCTCAACAACCCGGTCCGCTTCGCAGATAGCAAGGCTCCACCCTGTCCCCCTCTCGTTTCTGATTTGCCAGATTAGTGTGCTTCGTGAGAGGCTTCAGCATGCTTTGGAAATCTGAGCCGGGCTCTCGGGGAGGCTTCTTGAGGCCCTATTTGCGGCTGGGCGGCTCTGACAGGTCGTGGAGCTGTACCTGGTATGGTGCTCTCGTCCAACATCCCGCAGGCATAGCACGGCCATATCGGGCAGTGCGCTGCGAAGTCTTGAAAGGCACTCGGGCTTCAAGGGGCCTTGGACATCTACCTGACGGACAACACCTACAGCACATATGCTTGCGTCAAAGCTGGATATCTCCATGGCGTCCAGGCTGGAGCAGCAAGCAATGAACATGCCTTGCAGATCCTTCCAGTCGTTTTTTTTTCGTTTTGTCGGGCTAGCCTTGTCCATAGCATAAGTCTTGTACCTGCAGCACGCGACGGCAGGCCAGCATTGCTGGGGTTAAGCAAGAGGCGCTCAAGCAGGCACGGCTATCGCAGACTTGCCGTCATGGTGCACTCGCAGCAATCTTGCAGCCAAGAGCCAAGCGTGTCTGTTCCGACGAGGCCAGACGCCTTGGGCAAGCACCCTTCGGCCAGCGCATCGTAGGCTCCTGCCCGGTTCACGCTCACAATTGCCATCGCTCCGCGCATGCACTGCTTTGTCTTGGGCATCAGGCACAACACAGTCGTTGCAATGAGTGCAAACCCCACTACGCTCTGAATTGACGAGGTTTAAAGACAGGTCCTCGAAGGCAATCTCGATCGGCAGCAGCAAACAGCAGTCCATGTAGTGCAGCCAGTCAATAGTGAATGACACTGGTAGGTTCAAAAGCACTGTTTGCTGATGTTGGCTGTCAATGCCGTTGGCGCCTGTCACTGGCAGGCATCAAGCCTGAGCTGGACGTGGAACGCTTCGGCTTGGAGGCAAGTGTATCACTGCAGATCAATCTTTGCTTTCACAGTGCCTTCGAGTGTTTGGATGTCGAAGGTGTTGTGGATTGCCCGGCAACCGACAGATTGCCTTTGCCTGCAGGCGTGGGCCATTGACTTGGGAGCACGGACGGAAGGAGTCTTCCGGCACACCTCTCAGAACATTTGAAGACCTCCTGCGAACAGGCCGTGAATGCTTGAGGGTGTGGGTGTCTGAGGAACGTTGGTGCGAAGAGCCCCAAAGAGATGGAAGCTGAAGAGAAAGCCAAGGACGAGCAGACTTGGTAGACTTGAGCCTACAGTCCTGCCGACCAGATCGCCTGCTTGCACAAGGGAATACTCGGCGCGACTGTGGGTGTTCGGCACCGTGCAGCTGATGCGCGGTTGATGTGCCGGTGGCAACCAGGAGCGGGAAGCCAAGCTGGCGGCCGAGGGTGGCAAAAAGCAGGAGGACAGCTTTGGAACAATTTCGAAACATAGCCGTCGAGAGCCCGAGCGATTGGACATCTTGATGTGGGTAACAAACAGCAGGAACATATCAACGTAGCGACATGAACTGCAAGAATAGCCACAGATCTTTCTGACGGGTCATATGCAGATACAGATGAACATGCAGGACAACATCGGCGTAAGATAGGGGTGCACCTTTGCGGATGACTTGCAAAGCAAGAAGTGCTCATAGATTTGGGTCCGGGTCACCATGGTACACCCAGCGGTCGTCGTTGTCAGATACTGATTTCATGATGTCGCCCCAAGGAGGCCGCCGACACACAAGTGAGTCACAAGAATCATAATCATCATCAGCAGCATGCTTGTTCGCCACGATCATTAGCCACAATATCGCCGCAACAGTAGCGGTAGTACTGAGAGTACAGGGATCAACGGCACCTTCCTCCTCCTCCTCCTCACTATCAGTACTCTCCTTCTCTTCTCTTTCTCTCAGTAATGACAGTCATGCTACAGAAAAACGGAAGAACTGTGCACAAGCAGCTGTCGCAATGAATCCTACAGGATTGGAACGAGTGGCGCAAGAGGCCGTTGCAGCTTTCTGACTTTGGTTGCCTTCGCTGATCAAGTCATGCAGAACTTCATGCCACAGCGGTTCAGTTTCAACTCTCGCTGCAAGGAGCACTGATTGAAGATTCGTACAGGCTCTGCAGACCCTGTCGAACTCTAATAGACAAAACCACCCCTACAACTTGAGGTTCCAGGCACTCGTACCTTATGTTTCGCACCTTTGTCCTTCCAGCCAATGTGGCCTACGCTTCCTGAAGATAAGACTGTACAAGAACGTGAGGCAGATCCAGCCAAAGAAGCGCCCAAAGCGACGCGCACGTCGTCCTGCTGCCCCAGCAGGCGCAGAGTTAGTCTGAGAAGCACGGCATGAGTCATGCTAACTGCTAACAGCTCCAAATCTGGTGAACGCCAGGCTGAGTGGACGCTGAGACGTCTCTTCCCTCGGTGCATGAAAGCATACTTGTCTCAAACTCAAACTAGAAAATCCTGTGAAATCTCGAAGCTGAATGAAGTCTAAGCCTCTTCCACAAAGGGCCTGTTGTCTCTGCGGTTCCACGTTTGCTCGCGCAGGAGGAAATCAGCGGAAACCATAGGAGCTGAGAGTGCAGCATGCGTGTCTTTCTTCGCGAAACGTGCCTTGGAGCTTTCACGTCAAGCATGACGAAGGTCCTGTGGTATTGAAGTTTTACTGCTTTGAAGACCGCTTCCGGCCAACGCGATAGCGATTTTCCTAACTGGTCGTGTCAGCGACAGCAACTCCATGCGATGAAGGGGAGGTAGTCAGATGCCGCTCTGTACCGGCTGTCACTAATTACCAGACCAGAAGCTTAGCAGACAACATGCACGAGAGCTTGCATGTGACACCGAATCGGCCGAGCTATGGACGAGGAGGCGCAGATAGGTGTCAGGGGGTCTCCATACGCGACTTGCTGTACTTACTCCGTTTCTATGCTAAGGCTACCTGCCAGGGCCATAGCCTGGTATATCATCCAACCGAGTCATTGCAACCGCAAGGTTGAGCAGCCTGCGCCACGGTTCAAGTGCGACTTCGAGGACTGTCGACAAGGATTTCCACACAAGTTTGCTCAATGTCAGTAGAAGCAGAAATGGACCTCTTTCGCAACCGGCCGCTTCAGTTCCTGGTCTCCTTCCGGGCGCTCACACAGAGAAGCGCAGTGCACTTAAATTCCAGGTCAACTCCCAAGATCTGGAAGGCCAAACTACCAGATGGAAGACATAGTTTCACCCACATAGCCCCTAAATGGCCCAATTCCTCCAGAGATCTGCCGGTTCAACCAGGATGCCGGCCAGCACACTGCTGTTGCGTTGCGCGATGCTGACCACGAAACATATAATATCTGCACCAGGCACAGTACTAAAGCCTCGGCAGGCACCGAAAACCGCCTTTCGCTGCCCGCAGTCTGACTGTAAACCGTAAACCTCAAATGGCGTCGTGCCGTCAGCAGCAGGGACATCAGCTGTGGTCCGCTCGAAGAGCAAAACGTTCAACCAAACAGATTTCAATTCAGGTCTTTTCGCCGGGAGCCGGCTTGAACACACTTCCGAGCCGTTTGCCATTTGCTTGACCGAAATAGCGAGCTGCACGTCGACGCTGGACTGGTGGCAGGAGCTGCCGGATGGCAATTTTATCTGGCATGCCTCACTTGTGCTGTTGCACTACCTCCAGGCAGGCTATGTTCCAGCGCACATACTGTGCTCATCTGCGCTCTGTCGCACTTGGCCCGTTTGTTCAGGCACCTGAGAGGGCGAAGCAACTGCGTGGCAAGCCGCTCTCCCAAAGCACGAGAGGCGTTTATGCAAGCTGAAAGAAGTCAGAGCTCAGAAGGTGCCCTAAACCGCCCAGGCGAGTTCTGGAACTTGGAAGCGGCCTCGGGCACTTGGGGCATGGCCTGGCCAGGCTGGAGCTGCTGTGGTGCTGAACGGGTTGTGGGCTTCCTTAAGCCTTAAGCAGTGCCAACGCGTGAGAGCTTGAACTCCAGCTTCGCACTGGACCGCAGCCATTCCCAGCCGGTGCCAAGATCCCTCTGATCCCAAACATGGCCAAGCCATCCCCTCCAAGGCCGCGCGCTTAGACGCAGGAGACATATAAAAAGCGTCGCCAGATCTTCTTCGTTTTGTGCTAAACGGCTTCTCCAGCGTGCGCCTCGGGGCACGCCACCGGTGCGCTGGCGTTGTCTAAGTCCGGAGACGGTGCTGCGCGAGCACAAAGACAAAGCCGAGGCACAGTTCCAGGATGGAGGTGCCCGCCTGCGAAGTATTGTGACCGCATGTGCAGGAATGCTCAAAGATGGACGTGCCAGAGGTGATGCAGTCTGTCCTTACCGCATGGGGCTTTGATGGAGCGGACTTGTGTTGGATGCATATGGATGCGTTTCACCAGATCTTGATCCACCGAGGCCCCCTCACCAGCTCGATGCCGCAAGCTTGAACCGTCTCTGCAGGCCTGACCATTGACATGGAGGCAATGGAACTTTCATGCTTAGCTCGTCTCCGGCATTGCCAGGCTTGGGCTGCCTCCAACCGGGCCGCACAGCTCCCGAATGTGGCTGCATCCGAGGCCATCTCGTGGTTCTGGCAGCATGGTGCGCCGATGCTGCGAAGGTTACTACTAGCATCTAGTTTTCTCGTAAGATGACACACGGGCACGATGGCAAAACTTATTATTCCGCAGGGGTTTGCGCCGCGGAACAGTATTCGCATGTATTCGCGGAAATGCTATTGCGAGCCGTTGGCTGTCGACGAATGTCGACGACGTGGAGGCGGGGATTTAGTAAGTTCGCACTTGGTAAACCGGGTCCATCTTGGACCAAGCCAATATTGCCGTGGTCGGACACCGTCCACTTCGCGAAAGTCGCCTTGACTGATTCGAGTAGCTTGCTGGCTAAGCACTGTTGAACGCAGCCTCAGCCCAAGACGCAAATCTGCAATTCGGGCACTGGCCCCGACTCCCGCATTGCGATTCAAGCACTCGCCGACTCCAGCACGTACCATTCAAGAGTGTCGAGTTCGAGATTCCGGGCGTTTCGGGTTTTGTTGGATATCACCAGGTAGGGATCAAGCTGTTGGGGTTTGGGGCTTGAGGTCTTTAGTTTGTTGAAGCACTATAGGGCTTAGGGGTTTCGGGCATTTTCGGGCACAGGCCAGGAGATCTAAGTCTGGTCGTAAAGTTTGAGGCTTTAGGGTTCTAGGGTTTTCCGGTGCTGTTTCTAGTGTTTACGGTTTTAAGATTGAGGGTTTTAGGCCTTACCGCCTTCGGGATTTTAGGGTTTAGGGTTTAGGGTCTTGCGGTTTCGAATCCTTGGCTGGTGCGCGAACACTCCTCCGCTTTGAGTGATCCTGTGCCTCAGTGTCCAAATCCGCCTCCCTAGTGCACGAATCCGCGGTGCACGGGGCCAGCCTAAGAGCCCAAGATCCCAAAACACAAGACTTTCGAGATTTTTCAATGCGCATGCGAAATGCCACAATTTGGAGACCTTTCTACAAAAACTACGACAAACTTCGGATGTGTCAACAACCGGAACTGCACACGGACGCGGGTTGCGGACACCTGATTGTCTCGAACAGTGGCGCTGACCAAACTTTTGCTATTCCTCCCCTCGTGCCTCATTTCGGAACCCTCACGTTTTCGGGTGGAGTTGTGGGCCCATACTGTTCAACTGTTGGTGAATGCGACAGGAGCGCGGCCGCGCGGATCTCAGCGCCTGTCAGAGGTCCAGAAAGTTCAGAGAGTTGCTTAAAAGTAAAAGAAGTGCCTTTTTGCAGCACGCAAAGGCGAGCGCTACTCGCGCCATGATTGGATGGGATCGCTGCGGCAGGAGACGCAGGGCTCGTCAACGGCCCAGCTCCCCGTCGAGTGCCGGCCGGGGAGCATCTCGTTTCCCTGTAGCAAACCAGGCAGACATGGGGCAAGCAGTTTCATCCGACGGCTGGGGCCTTGCAGTCCACACAGGTGAATGAAGATAATTTGATTTCTTGCAGCGGTTGAATGGCTTGTGGGGGCTTGCAGCTGTCAGAAAGACCCGCCAGTGTCCACTATCTATTCGTTTCGCGGTGTATGAACTTGAATCAGTGCATGTTCCTGGGTGGGGCAGCTCCAGAAATCTCTGAAAGTGTTCTACTACTTACTCGTCGTTCGCTCTTGCTCTTGCACTTTCATCTCAAACGTCAGGCCTGCGGAGGGCCTTCAAAGCACATGGGGGTTAGTTGTGTTGGCATGAGAGCTGTTGTGGCCTCCTCGGATCTGGCAACTTCATGTTTCTCCTGGAACGCAGAATTCTTTAGTCTCAAGCCAGCGATTCTCGAACTAGCCAGCCACGCTGCGCGCTTAAAGCTACTCAGCTGGAAATCTGCAGCTCTTCTGAGTTAACGCCTCTCAGTTTCGTCCTCGTCTCTCGATCCGAGGTTATCGACATGTCCTTCTTCACTCAGCTGTCGGAGGCACTGACTCTGTGCAGCCGGCCACAGGTCCGCCCTGTTCGCACGGCTGCTGACCCTCCGATGGAGCCCAAGGAATCCTTGCGCCTTCTGAAGGCGCGCACCCACTCAAAGTGTAAAGAGTGTCCTTAGGAGAGTTCGGAGATGCGCTGAGTCTGAGAGGACGGGAATCGCCGCTTCGTGGAGGGACGGACATTGGCCAGCCGGGCAAGTCCTGGGATGCTCCAAGAGCTGGTGGAGCTGGGCCAGGCCCCGCACACAGCGATCATCGGCTGCGCCGACTCAAGGGTTCCACTGGAGACCATCTTTGACACAATGCCAGGCGCGGTCTTAGCGGTCTTGGTCTAGATCTAGCTCATGCGTTAGTCGTAGCATGTCGTAGCCAATCGTCCTTCTTCCAGGCGACATCTTCGTGCTCCGCAACGCGGGCAACACTTGTACACATGCCGAGGGCAGCATCGTTGGCAGCTTGGAGTACTGCACTGGCAACTTGGGCACCCGACTGGTCCTGGTGCTGGGCCACACAAAGTGTGGAGCCGTCTATGGGGCAACGAAAAGATTTCTGGATGCCCAGGCTGCGCCCAAGAAGGCTGGCACTGCACTCCAAGGGCTTCTGCAAGACCTTGGTGCCGTAGCTCATCAGGCCCAAGAAGACATGGGTGCTGATGCCGAGGAAGATGCTATCGCAGCCCATGCTGTAAGGGTGAATGTGTTCCACACCGTGAACTTTCTGCTCAAGTTCAGCGATTCGATCCGTGAAGGCGTGCGCAGCGGCCAGATCCAGATCGAAGCTGGCATCTATCATTTGGAGACAGGCAGCGTGGAGTTCTTAGGTGAGAGCCCGCAGCAGGCCGAGCTGCTCGAGTCCACACTGCCTCTTCCGCCTTCCATGGCTCGCCAGGAGACCGACCGTGGTTTGCATGGTGTCCGCACTGGCGTTGACGGCATCATCAAGTCCAGTG